AATCACCCTGAGAACCAGGATCTTGATCGGGAGCTGATTTTAACCACAGAAGTGGACCTTTTTAGCATCCTGCGGTTAACTACACACATTGCACTATGTGCCAAGGTGAGCGTCTTATGGTTAGGAACCTGTGCCTGAAGCAAACGCAAGCAAAGCAAGTTCTCTATGCAGTTCTGTGCGATTGTGATATGCTGAGTTGCAATGGTCTGGAGTGAAACTGGGTGTATTGTACTGCCTTGGCACCCTCATGCAAAAGTGAACAGTTGGGCATCCCCTGGAGCACAAGGTCTGAACTTGGGAATGGAGGGCCAAGAGCTTGTCCAAGGAGAGGAAAACCTTGGACTAGGCTGTGTCCAGAATCGGGCCCAGATACTCCAAGCAGTGGGTCGGTTTCAGTGCTGACTCTTGGGAGATTTATGATCCTTGGTCCCTGAAGCCAAAAGCAAGGAGATTTATGATCTTTTGTCCCTCAAGGCGTAAGCAAGAAGTCAATCAATCTGGAAAGCTGATAAATGGAAGCCGCAGTGGCTAAGAGCTGCTACAGACCAGAAAGAAGAATCATCATGTTAAGGCCTCCTGCACACAGGACGTTTTTGCAGCATCATACACACTGGACATTATAAAAATGCCAGTAGAGTTGCTGCATTAAAAACGTGAGTTTTGTGGCATTTTGATTCTTTTTTTCATTAGCGGTTTGCCGCATTAGTGTTTTTTAGCAAGAAAACACCTCTCTGCTATTTTTAACTACCACTTTCCCATAATGCATCTCTGAATAGTCATTGTATAGCTGTTTAGTAGCCATTTTCAGAGCAGAGAGATCACTGTGTTGTTCAGGAGCGATCTCTTTTTCTTGCTGCGTCCATTATGGATCTTGTAATGCAGAAAATTGATGAGGCTGTGCTACTGATTTTGTTAGAGATGGGGAGAAGACAGAGACAGCTGGAGAAGAGGAGCAGCCGTCAACGACAATTCTGGACTCATCCCTTGATTTCCCGTCATGTATCCTCCATATGTCCATAAAAGGAATTTCCTGTTTTCACACAGTTCAGCTAGCTGAAACAATGAGGCAGCAAAGGGCACTGGGAAATGTAGGAATTAACTGTAGAAAAATGACAGTGCCCAAAAATATTGCTTTAAAAAAAGCTTGAGTCTCAAAAGCGCTTATAAAGGCAGGATATTTGCGTTTTTCAGTGTTAGAGAGATTTTACAGCTGAAAACTTCTTCTCAAATGCAGTAGTTTTTTTTTCCAGCCTGATAATGCCCCTGCCAATAATGATAAAAGCCTATGTGCGCACATAGGATAACATGCTAGGGGGTTCACTGGCTGCAAAAATAAATACATTTACAAAAATGTGATGCCTGTAAACGCGACCTAAACGCTTGTAAAAGTGTCAGACACTTTTACAAGCGTTGGGTGTTTTTCCTGCCAAAATGCTGCTGCCAAAGAGGAGGAGAGTTTTTAAAATGTACTGTGTGCATGAGGCCTAAAGAATAAATACAATCACAAAGTATGCCTCTCTCAGAGGAGAGAGAGAAGACATCCGTACACCTAAGGATACAAGCAAAAAACTAGGAGTCTGAGAGGTTATGCTGGGGCTGTCCTATCTTGTGTCCAATCTTGTGAAGGTAGCTGTCTAAGACTGAGATTATGTGTCCTGTACTGTACAAATAAGAAAAAGGATCCTTTGTGCTTACTGTAAATCCTTTTCTCCTCTTTTCTGTGTTCACTGAAAGAACCTTCTGTCTTGCAGCTGCCTGTGTGTGTAAACACTGGGTTTAGGTACAGTGTACTTACCCACAGTATGCATGTTTGGGTGTGGAAGGACGGAAAGGAATGGCCACCAGCAGGGGCTATTGTTTGTTTCTTAGTTGTACATAGTGTCTAATTCCCGCGCGTGGTGCTTTACCCAGAAGGTGATGATCTAAAGCAAAGCTGTCTCCTCCACTGAAATCCGTGTAAAGAATATTTAAAAAAAAAAAAAAAACCCTATTTTTTCACATAGTTGGAAATGAAGCTTTTGGGCACGTATGATGCATTTTTTCTTTTTTTGCTTAATCCACTGCTATATGTACTTCATGAAGCACCTGCATAAATTGATTGTAGCTGTGTTAGTGCACTTGGAACACAGTTGGTTATTTGTGTTTATTATTATTTCCACCATTAGTGCAAATAAAGTTTCCCAGTTAGTACTGACAGAACTGATATATCAAGCCCAAAAATCCAAACTTACAAGAGCTTTTACTCAACAGTGAACATGAGCGTCCGTACTCAAATATAGCCATCTTGGCAATGGACACATCATCTTAATTGGAGCACACAAAGCCCATAGTGTGGAGAAAGCTTATTTAGGTGTCCATTGTATTTGTTTTATAGGGTAAGTACCCATTCACAAAACCCTAACCGTGACGTTATCATGCCTAGTGAGATTTTAACTCTGGACTCTGGGATGAAAGGTGAGAAAGCTAACCGCTTAGCTGTGAGGCTTCCTCATGAAGAACAATTGCATCTATGGCTTTGTACACAATTATGCAGTAGGATTTGATGTACGCACCCTAAGGTCCAAAGCAATAAAAGGAAACATGACATGGTATAAATCCCATCAGTTACATCCGAAAATAAAGCACACACATCCAGGGTAAAAACTGATTGCTTTACTCGAATTCTACACATTAAAATATTAAATCAAAGTGAACTGAAACTGTAAATAAAATGGCAGGTTACTATGAAATGGGTGTGTAACAGTAAAGATAAGAAGGCATGAAGGACAGAAAAAAAAAAATCACATTAAAGTCCTTAGGGCAAGAAAAAGAAAATATAATAAAAACTAAAAGCTGCCTTTACAGGGCCAGAAATTGTGGAAATGATAACAATTACTGATGGCTAGCCAAACCAAATTGGTAGACGCTAAGCCTAAATATGTATGTGCAAGAGGTTGCAACTCCCCACCGCTGCATTACACAATATTTCACAAGAGGGGTAATGGGAGGGATTTTCTGCAGTAAAGGAGAAGGAAATAATTAGTTCATGGCTTCCAGTGAAAAGAACTGAGGGACTTCACATTGGAAAACCACCAGGCTTATATAATAAAGGCAAGAACAGTGATGCACAGTAACCTAAGGCAACCAACAAAAAACTCACCTTACTCTGATTGCCAAGATGTGAAAAACATTAATATGATTGGCTGTTGGAGGTTCCTGCACACCACTACCCTCTGCGCTGTTACTAAGCCCATACTATTGCATCCATATGTCTCATAGCCTCTCAGTAAAGGATGGAAAAATTAAGATAAAGGATGTATACCAGTCTTGTTTAGAGGAGACAATTTACCAGTCCTAGAGTTACTTTAAATAAATAAAAGACTTCAAAACTGAAGTAAAAGATATTTATAATGGCCATACCCAATTCCTGTTAAGGGCATGTCATTGAAATACATTGTGGTGTGTGTCTACAAAAAAAAAAAACAGATTAGCTAATACATTCAGGTTGGAAAGGGGGGGTTTACATTTATTCTCAGAATATAAAAATGGTCAACAGATCTTGGACAGAGATTCTTTAAAATGAAAGGAAGTAAAATCAAAAGGATGTGTCTCCCCCTAAAGGGGGGATGGGGAAGCATGACAAGATATACAACCACAATAATACAACGTATATATTATATACATAAAGGCCCCTGACTCTATCCTTTTGCCAACTCTGGCATTAAGTAATGTGGCTGTGAAGGGAAGCGGTTTCAAATTTCCTAAGGTGTACCATGAGGTCACCAAAGATATGTAATTCCTCAAAAAATTAAGAAACATAGCTAAAAGGTTTGGCCCATACAAAAAAGAAGGTGTCAAGGGTGTTTTTTTAAGTTGGCACCTAATGAGCCCTCATGACCGTGGGTTCACAACCATCACTAAAACAGAACAGGTCATTTAGTAACATCCTGTGTGCCTGTTGCTGACCAACATTTTAAAAACAAAATACTTCAAAGTTGATTGGTTTGGGAAGATGCAGATATCTTAGAAGCCACAAACTTCATACAAATAGATGGTACTCCAGTGTGAAAATTTATCCACTACAATTCCCTGTTCAGACTGAGAAGATGGCAATTCCTGTAAGTCAAACCAGACCCCCCTATCTGAAGTCTATTAGAAGTGAATGGAGACAAAGTTAAGTGGTCCAATTGTCTGGTCTGATTGATAACATGACTGCAGCAAGGAACAGAGTTGGGAGCCAAGGTAGGGAAATCTCTCTGGCTGGGAGTACACACAAGTTGTAAAATGTATTCCCGTCATTGTTGGATCATGTTCTTTAAAAAAAAAAAAAAAACATTGCCCGCATGTTTAATCTAAATTCCAAATTCAAGGCCAATACAAGAAATCTAAGAAGCCGTGAGAAGAAAATTTAGAGGTGATGTTTGTGATGGGCTTTGAGGGGGAATAAAGACTAAGCACCATTGTAGAATAAAGACATTGCAGTGAAGGATTGAGAAAACTGAAATCTGCTTTGTGTTAGCAGCAAAAGCACAGGTCACTAGAAATTACCTTTTAAAAGGGACAGTGAAACACCAACCTGTCAGATCCAAAAAGTACCCATCTTACATCTTTATTCTTCCCATTTTAATTTATATCACCTTCCACAACATTCTACATCTGCAGATTCCAAGCATAAAGAATTAGATGAACTGCCAGCATTTAACCATGTTATTAAAATCTTCAAAACATGTCCTTGATGTTCTCCATACCAGCACCTCTTGCACATCTACTGAGATCATTCTAATTATTGCAAGTCCAGTCTTCCAAAAGATCTTGGTGCCTTGTGACTGATCTTCCCTTACTGTATACCCAGACAACATAATTTTCATCTCACAGGCTTTAGAGCATCTTACTTTCAGACCCTGCATGGGATTTTGTTATAAATGCCAAGCTACCACCTACATGTCTTCCAAAAATCCGTGGCTTGCTTTCTCCCATTGTAGAAAATGCAGACATCCTGTCAGTGTCATTGCGAAGCTGACTTATTGGGACGTGACAGTCTCTGCCTGCTCCTGGGATGATACAGCATGGGGAGGGCTAGGAAACTTTGAAAAGTTCATTTGCAATATATGATGCTGCAGGTGACGAACCCACTGCTCCTGGATGGAAAGTGGACCTTGGAATTGAATGTCACAGAACCTGGTAAAGGGGAGAAAGAAAAGAACTTTAAGGAATCTGCAATGTGTATAAACCTCACTGAAACACGCATGAAAACTGATGTCTATGCAAGTGCGCCAGTTTCCATCAGTTTTCCTGCACGTATGGTGTGAACGAGGCCTTTAAGTAGTTTTAATTTGTTTAGTTTCAGATTAGTTTGTTAAACTAATAATTTTGTGTCATCGTATTTATTATGTAATAATGATTTGTATTTTATTCTATTCTAATGTTGAAATTCGAATTTCGGAAGATGGCTATACTCTATTTTATTCTATTCTATTGTTTTTGAATTTCAGAAGACAGCTATATTATATTTTATTCTATTCAAAATTAAAATTTTGGAAAACAGCTATATACTTTCTTTCTATTCAAATTTCAGGAGATGGCTATATTCCTTCTATTTTATTCTATTGAAATTGAAATTCCAATTTTGGAAGACAGCTATATTCTATTTCATTCTATTCCATTGTATTCAAATTTCAGAAAACGTCTATATTTATTTATATTATATTCTATTCAACATTCACATTTTCGAAAACAGCTATCTATTCTTTCTATTTCATTCTATTCTATTCTAAACTAAAATTTCAGAAGATGGCTATATTCTATTCTTTTATTTTCCATTCTATTTTATTCTATTCTATGCTTTACTATTCTATTTTATTCTATTAAGCAGCCTAAGTAGGAAAAAACATCTTTTTTCACTTTTATACATTACTGTATTTATTGCAATATGTTACCATTTCGAATTCAAATTATTTTTCGTATAAATATTCTCATCTGTAAATTCAATGACTTGATGAATGTCGATCAACAGTACTATAAAAAAAATGATTTTAACATGCGATTTTACAGTGAATGATCTTTCCTGAGAGAAAACTACATTCACTGTTAGAAACTCATTTAAGAAAAATCTTCCATCCTGCTCCTTCGAATTTTCTAGTGACTATGGTTGGAAACGAACATCAATTTGGCCTCACTAATGATTATAAAACCTAATGAACGTTCTTCAAATTAAAATTAATGTACAAAATTCTACTTGTGTATGACCAGCTTTAGTAGACCTTTTCCTAGCATTATTATACTGAGGGAGTATCCAGGGGCACCCATGATAACAGAATCAAAGATCTGTCCAAATGTCTCTAAGATCAATCAGGAGGAAAGCAGTGAGGCTCACAAGGTGGAATCACATCGCGACGATCCTAGGAGCTCTGGAATTGACCACTTGTTACAGGTCATATATCCTCTCCTCAAATTTTTGGGAACTGGCTGGGCTTTTCTCTCTTGCAGTCTTTGCGATTCTACCTTGTGAGCCTTCTCTTTTGAGACATATTGTTTTTAATGTTAATGTTGTAATCTTTGGAATACACTTCTTATCTCCTGATGAACAGCTGATACGTGTTGAGGTTTAAAGTTGCCATCTGAAGACTCTGATAGATGGAACTCACTAAATGCAGATAACCATGGATGTATTTTGGCTGTTTTATATTTTTCTATGTATGGTAACTGTTTTTAACAAGCTGTGAATAAAATCAAATATTTTATTTATACATCTCTTATATGATTGGTACCTGTAAAGTCCAATTCCCTTTTCCTCCAATCTAGTAATGTTTGCTGATAGGAATGTGGTACCATAACAATATTGGTTAGGATTCAGAATCAATTTTTTTTTTTTAAGGTTTTCTGATGACCTGACCTTCCAGAAGGTGGGAAGAATCATCTTCATAAACCCCAGATGACTGGCCCACCAGATCAGGCACTACCTGCTCCTCAAGGGTAAACAGTTATGTTTACTTAGGGAACTTTATCCACAGCAGTAGAAAAAGGGTTTGAGGAAGTCTGAGAAGAGATTGAAGTAAAGCTGGTCATACACTGGTAGATTTTCAGATGAACATTTGTCACAAACATTCTTAAAACATAAAATTTCAAAATGAAATTCTAGTAGTGTATGGCCAGCTTAAAAGGAGCACCATACTGAAGATGACCCCTTGACCCATGATCTTCCTGCAACTGCTGAGAAATGGGTAACCCCCCAACAAAGGGGGAAGGACATGAGGGTGGAAAAGCTGTATATTTCGCTACCGCAGAATCAAGTGTTTGAGCAGCCTGAAGATGATGAAAAGTGGACTGCTTAATTTTTTGATGATACTAGATTAACCTGAATCTTGAAGACGTTTAGACTTTCAGAAAGACACTATCCACCAGAGGCCTCATTGACTGATCTTCACAGGAGGTCGTTTAAGTGTCCCACAATGGCGATGCACATGAAATAGCAGTGAGAAACAAACTGAGAACAACATCCTAGAGGAAACTTGAGGTGCAGGGCCAAGGATGGAGAGTAAAAGCCAAGAGGTCACAGTGAACAGCCTCTACACTGCCTGGCCTATCACAACAGTCAGAGTATCCTTCTGCAGGAGAATAGGGACAGTGGACTTACATATACACTTACATGTCCCTAAAGAAACACAAAGTCCTGAGTGACTGTAGCAGAGGCCCTGGTCGACAAGGCAGGATACTTAGCCTCACCCAGCAAACCCATGGAGGACTCCAACAACAAGGTAGACCCTACAGCCATGGACAAAATTTGTTGGTATCCCTCTACAATAACAAAAACAAACCCACATCTTTCTTGGAAATAACTTACAACTGACATAAAATTATTATGATTTTTGATAAAACCGAAATTTTAAATAATTAAACAAATTCAATTGGTATGTTAAAAAATGATGGGCCCCTAATATACACGTACATGTCCCTAAAGGCACAACCATCTACTCTGAGAAGGAGCTCAGAGCAGGGTGAGATACAAAACCTAAATTCAAGCTGGTACAGGAGCTAGAACAAATATCTTTTGAACCAGGATACCCTAAGTGAACAGAATAGGTCTGCTAATCTGTGCAGCAGCATAGGATCTGCTATCCTAAGAGAGGACTTGCTGTACCTGAACGGAAATATTCCCAAGGTCCTGCGAAGATTAACAAATATCTCTGCATTTGAAAAAAAGATTGTGCACCTTCATGCATGAAGGCTTTCCTGAGGGTTAAGTAGATGTCTTGACCCACATGTGGGTGGCCAGACAACTGGGTTTGGAAGGCCTAGGTGTGCCTACTCCCCAAGCAAAACATGACTTAGTACTTGGTGGAGAAATCCTTGTTGGCAAGCACAGAGGTAAGGTGTTTCTTGTAGTTGGTTACTAGGTTTGCACACATCTCAGGAGGGATTTTGGTCCACTCTTCTTTACAGATCTTCTCTAATTCCTTAAGATTTCTTGTCTGTCCCTTGGCAACTCGAAGTTTTAGCTCCCTCCATAAATTTTCTATAGGATTAAGGTCTGGAGACCAGCTAGGCCACTCCATGACCTTAAAATGCTTCTTCTTGAGTCACTCCTTTGATGGCTTGGCGGTATGTTTTGAGTTATTGTCATGCTGGAAGACCCATCCACGACCCATCTTCAGTGTTCTGAGGGAAGAAGGTTCTCATTCAAGATTTAAAATACATGGCTCCATCCATTGGCCCCTCAATGCACCAAAGTTGGCCTGTACCTCTAGCTGAAAAATGTTTCCACCTCCATGTTTGACTGTAGAAATGGTGTTCTTTGGATCATAGTCAGCATTTTTCTACCTCCAAACATGGCAAGTCGAGTTAATGCCAAAAAGCTAAATTTTGATCTCATCTGGCCACAGCACTTTCTCCCAATCCTTCTCTGAATCATTAATTGTTAATTGGCAAACTTCAGACGGGCCTGTACATGTGCTTTCTTGAAGAGGGGGACCTTTCGGGCGCTGCAGGATTTCAATCCATGGAAGCGTATGTGTTACCAATGGTTTTTTTGGTGAATGTGGTCCCAACTGCCTTGAGATCATTCGCAAGCTTCTCTTGTGTAGTTCTGGGCTCATCCCTCACTTTTCTCATGATTGTTCTTACCCCATGAGGTGAAATCTTGCATGGAGCTCCAGGTCGAGGGCGATTTATGGTTATTTTGTATTTCTTCCATTTGCGAAAATCGCTCCGACAGTTGTCTCATTCTCACCAAGCTTCTTGCTGATGGTCTAGTAGCCCGTTCCAGCCTTGTGCAGGACTACAATCTTGTCCCTGAAGTCCTTTGACAGCTCTTTGGTCTTGCCCATGGTGGTGACATTTGAATGGAAGAGATTCTGTGGACAGGTGTCTTTTATACACACAATGAGTTGTCCTTAGGAGCACCTTCTTAAATTGACAGGACTAATCTGTGTACCACATGAGCATATAGCCAGTCTGTGGGAGCCAGAATTATTGTTGGTTGGTAGGGGATCTAATACTTATTTTACTCACTGAACTGCAACAAAATTTATAACATTTGTATCATGTGTTTTTTCTGGATTTTTGGCTGATATTCTGTCTCTATCATTTAAAATACACCTATGATAAATATTATAAACCCTTCATTTCTTTGTAAGTGGCCAAACTTACAAAATCTGCAGTGGATCAAATCATTATTTTCCTCACTGTATCTCTTTGGAAGTATTTTTCTCTTTGTCTACCATTCTCATAATCCTTCTGTTCAATCTGGAAATCATTATTCCGCTTACGCCCACGTCCACTCCTATGGACCTCACACTTCTTAATATTTGTAACTGTAGTTATAGGGACATTATGCTGCTTGGAGATGGTCCTATATCCTTTAACATGCGCTGGTCAATATTTTTCTGTCTGGTTTCCTCAGACAACTTTTTACTTTGTTTTCTTTGGTCCATGCACAGTGTGGTGTTCATGATGACACTAAACAGCACAGTACATTATTTTCTCTGTTTAAACAGACTGAGTGATTAGAAGATTGAAGACGTGTGATACTAATTATAGAAAGGAGTATGAATATTGCTATGATCCAATTATTTATAATGTTGTTAGGAGTACTAACAAGTCTGCCTGGAGCAATTTAGAATATATTTGTAGAATAAGTAATAATATATCTCTTTCACACTTTCTTTGCTTTACTTTATCAC